CAAGTGCCACCAGCCAAGCAGGACAGTGCAACGGCACATGCACAGGCAGTGGCATTAGGTGCCCCTCAAAGCATCGGCGAGCAGTGACTTAACGTCCCCCTGTGTCCCCACCGCACGAGAGCGGAGGCTGCTTCTGCTCGTGCAGGGGCACGCAGACCTCCGCCGCGAAGGGGGCTGGCTGCGTGTTCGGCAGGAGCACCCCGCTCCCAAAACAACAGCAAACGCTCCCAACGTACGCGCCCCGGCTTCCTACCTCGCGGCTCAAGCAGCCAAGCCAACACAGTAACGAGCCCGGAGATCTTAATCGGCTTTTGATCTTATCAAAAGGCAGGCCAGGCTGGTGCCAGCCCCTCCACATCTCCCCACCAGCGGGGTAACATCCACTGCGGTTTCTCTTCCCAGCAGACGCTGGGTGGGAGGACTCCAGATAAGTGCAGGGCTCCACGTGCGCTCCCAGGCTAACTTCATCACGCAGGGGAGAGCACAAAACAAGGCTCAAGGGAGAAAGAAACCTTCAAACAAGGCTCAGGGGAGAAAGAAACCTTTAAAACAATCAGCTCGGGCCAATACTTGCCTCGGGAGCTTGTTACCACGGTTGTATACGTGCAGTTTGGACTGTATCTCGTGTGTGTTCAGGGCAAGCAGGGAGCCTGTATCTTAGGAGTCTCTACACAGCATGCCAAAGTACCACCAGCTTCTCTGCACCCAGCGCTTGGCTCATCGAGTTAAAAGCACCGGCACTTGGGGTGTTGCAGAGAGGCAGTTCTCACCCACGTCAACGCTCTCAGCACCCTGGCGTCACCCGAATGGAGAACTGACACTGACAGCTCACGTGACGACACCGCAGCCTCCCAAAGCCTTGGATTTCATCCTCTCTTAATCCCAGATCCACACAGTCACTGCCATTCAAGACGTCAAAATGCGTCTTTAGATACGCTGTGGATCTCGCCCCTCAATCCCTAACCCTCAGAGCACCGCACAACACTGAGGTCCACCTCTCTGCACGTGCCAGCACCCGACACGAGACGCCACAGGACTAAAGACTGCTCACCTCCGCACGTCTCCTGGTCCAGACAGCATCTCTCTCCCACCACATCACCGTCTTCCCAAAGCCATCCCTCTCCCTGACGTCTCGGCTCTTCTCTAACTCTCTCTGGCGAAGAAACGCCGCTCCCTGTGTCTACATCTGCCCCTTCCAAGTCACTTGGCAGTCCCTCGTTTCTGCTCCCGCGGACAGCCCCTTTGCTGCTCCACGTGTTTGGGACGCTTCGCCAACCCACAGAGTCTCGCAGGCTGGCGTCCACGTCCCCTTCTCAGCCCCAGCACAGGAAAGGGTTAAACTCGCGATCACAAGTAGTCACCACATCATCCACAAAGTTTTAGTCCATCAGAGCAAACTGACTGCCAGACTACACGGCTCGAAGAGCAGTATTTACCCACCGGAGCAGGGAAAGGGGAAGAGCTCAGGAAAAGTTAATGCTCTCGGGTAGCCATTTGCTTTAGCTTCAAATACAGCAATGAGAAAGCAAAAAGCAGGGGGACAAGGGGACACGTTGGGCCACATCCCCAAACCAATGCAAGGGAAGAGGAAGACGGATGAAAGAAGGTAGCAGAGACAGAGAGAAGGAGGGAGACAGAGAGAGAGACAGCGAGAAGTGAGGAGATACTCACCAAAGAGACATGAAGAGGTGCCAGGAGGAAGAGCTTTCCTCACCAGCATGTTTTGTTTCAGAAAAGCAGCGAACTGAGCTGAAATGAATCAGAGAGAATTACAGTATCACAGCCCGGCTCTGGAGGGGGACAGGGAACTCCAGGGACACCACTGCGACCCACAGACAGAGACCTCGGAGCAGGCAGGCAGGCAGAGAGCTCCGGACATGACTCATCCAGCCACGGGGTACAATGGGAGACACACCGACCTCCTCTCCGGACGGCAGCGTAGCACATCCGACACTAGAAAGGGCATCATCCCAGCTTTCAGAGAGAGCACGCCTCAAAAGCATGAGCCCTCTCCAGCCCCACAGCCGTCGGGAAAAGGTCCAGCGCCCAGGGAACGAGAGCAGGCTTGGCTGCGAGAGGCACGGCTAGCTTGACCGAGGCAGTTGCGCCGAGAAGCTGAGAGCAGCTGGGAGACGTCAGCCAGCGCATCCCTGAACAGTTACGGCCACAAAACGCAGGCCAGAAGCCACGCTGCAGCAGCGCTCCGACAAAACAAGGCGGCCACGACACACCCCGCTCCACCGACCCTCCTCCTGCCTCCCGCGTGCTACCTAGAAACTGCCTCCCTCAACTACAACAACAAAGGAATAGATTTCTTTAGGCCATGGTCTGAGAAATTAAGGGAGATCCAAGCTTCAACTTCCCCCTGGAGCCTACCCCTGAGTTAGAGAAAGACTTTAGAGAATGTGGAGGGTCACGCTGTTGCAGGAGACAACAACAAGCCTGCTCAGATCTGTCTTGAGCAAAGAAACAAGGAGAGAAGGGAGGATGGAGAACTATTCCCCAGGTGCCGCTGATATCTGCCAGAAGGGATCATCATCAACAAAACCATTACCTACATTCACAGCGTTGACAATCAGACTGAAGCTGCACCGTAAGGTTTTTAATCAGCACCTAACAGGACAAAAAAACCCCACAGCTCAAGCTGGTTTCTTATTCAGAGCAGGTTTTCCACTGCCATTTGATGCAGGATGACTCTGTAATTACCCAAACCCCACTGTTTCAGTCGCAATTCAACAGCCTCAGCCATCTCCTGAGAACCTTTAGTCTCCCTCCCAAGCAGCATTCAAGGATATGAGACACCAGTCAAGGGGCTCACACTCGAAAAAGAATTAGAGTACGGCTACGTGGCGATTTGGTCAGCCAGAGCAAGTGAAAATCCTTCCCACTCTGAACAGCAGCAAGGCTCCGCAAGCTGCGGAAACACCATTTCCAACCTAATTTCAACCCTCCACAGGCTGCTGCCTTCGGATGACAGTGACGGGGGACCGAGCTGTAGAGAAAGCTGCCACGGGGAGCTTGGAATTCAAGACAGGACTCAGAAGACAAAAACCTACACGCGTCAGGACAGATAAAGACCAAAAATCCAGATGCTAAGAGGGCAGAGGGTGGGAAAGCTGCAGGGCATTACCTTGTGCCTGCTTGTGCGTCAGGACAGTGTCTGTCCTCTGCACCTGCCTCTTCAGCAGCTGCGTGGTGCCGATCTGGCTGGGCTTCTGGATGGAGGACACAGCAGCCATTTTAGTCTTGGGGCTTGAAGTGGGGCTGCTGGAGACGCTGGATAAGTCCTGCTCAAAGAGAAGGTACACCTCTTACCCCCACGTTTCCCTAAGAGGCAGTCGTAACCCTGAGCGTAGCAGCGCGCAGGCAAGAACGTGCATCCTTTTGCTGGAGCAGATCTATTTCTGAAGGTTCGTTTGCCCCACCGCAAGCCATCAGTCCCTCCGTATCCTCTCACCTCCCTCCTCCAACACTAACCACGTCTCTCGCCGCATATTTCAGCGGTACAAAAGCATCTCTTTACGCAACCTCAGCCTTCCCCAGCTCAAAGTATCCCAGAGAAAGCCCCCACCTCCGAGCCCGAAGGCGCGGCGGGCACTTGGGCTGCCGGCGAGGCGGGCCTGCTGGTTCTTTCCGGCAAGTCAAATGACAGATCCCTCCTGCTCGAGTCACGCGGCTTCTTCTTCTTCTCAGCATCCAGGTCACGGGGATCAGAGCCCGAGTGGCTCTCCGCTCGGGTGAGGACTCCGGTCAAGAAATCAGCTATTTCATCCTAGGAAGGATGAAACAAATAATTAGACTAAATGGTGTGCAGGTCTCTAAACAACTGATCTTCACAGCTTGAAACAAAAAAAGAACAAAAGATTCTCAAAGGGACAAACGGATAAGGCTCTCTAGGTTTAACATCCTGCAAAAAGAAACCGTAAAACCTTACAGGTAGACCGTGGCGTTCTCATTAAAGCTCATACTCCTCCGATTTCTGACACACGGGAGAGAAACACGATGGTTTCTCCAACGCTCCCAAAAGTACTGCTTGCTTCCCCAGGCAGATGTACTGGAAGACTCAGAAAACTGCTCTTTGTTTCAGGTGCGCTACCAGGACGCTCACGTCTCTCCTCCTGAACGGAGACAGCCACTTCAAAATCCCACTCTGGAGATAAGATTACCTTCGTCCAACCAATCCTGGGAGTAAGGTTGTAACTTGTGGTCACCGAGACATTTCAGCACAGGGTTTTTTTGATAGATATGAAGTGTAAAAGGAAGATTTCGGTGGTTACCTGGATGCACCTGTCCACCATACTCTGGGTCAGGCCTTCCGACTTCTTTTTGGCTTTGCTTATCCTATTAAAAAAAACACAGATGGAAGTCAACCCACGTTTGGGTTTCCACTTTCACACTAGCAACATCGTTCTTCACCAGAGAGTAAGATTCAAGCGACAGCAAGCTCGCTCCCTTACCCAGTTAGACACAAGAGTAAGGCAAGAGCCAGCAACGTCAGCTCTCAACTCAAGAGCACCGTCTACTGGAAAGATGAGATTCATCCCTCAGAAGCGCCGAGACAAACTTCGATGACTGAGGAAAAAGGCCCAGCACCCCAAAGCATTTCGCAAAGCGAGTATGACGTTTCCTTCCCTTCAGAGCTCTGTCTTCAGACCCAGTATCGGAGTTTTACGTTTCTTTCTTTCCTCTCCTTTACTCATTACCCCTACTATAGATTTCTGACTTAGACGATGCTCCAAAACCTCGTCTGCGCTGCTGGGTCCAGCTCTAGCATCAGGCCAACCCTATTCTCACACACGACTTGCTCAGGTTTTTGGTGCAGTTATTCTAAACACGCACAAGCGTGACAGGAGAACAAGCTCCAAAGTTTACAGAAACCTTAAGAGCTTCTTGCTTCCCGCAAGGCTCTTACAGCCTCCCTTACCCCAATTCTGTGCACAGCCTCCAAAAGCTACCTATTCCAGAGCCAGGGGCGGCGTGAAAAAGGAAATACTTGCTCTGGTGTCATACCACACTGTACCCCGAATCTTTAACTTACCACTGGGAGAAACGATGCAGATTTATCATAGCAAGCCAACCCTCTATCCAACGTACCAGGTTTTGAATAACAAAGCTGACCTTGACGGAGCATTTTTATGCAGTTCCCATCAAGTTTCAGTACCAAATTTGGGCTGGTTTGGTTTTTTTTTGTACGCATCAGATCTTGCCCAGCGCTCCTGGGAAGAGAGTATCCATCTCGCAGACCGTTACCTGAGATTGTCATCTGCTCCTCCCACCACCACCATGCTGTTATCGGCTCGTATTTTCTCCCGGAAATCTTCCATCGCTTCGATGTTGCACTGCAGGGAATTCTGACCGATCACAAAGAGGACAGGGGTCTTCATCTCCAGGAGGGGGTCGTCAACATCCTGCAAGAGCAAGGGGAACTGTAATCCAGAAGGACTGATTCAGGACGCAGAGTCTTTGGAGCCAAACGCCGTTCTGAATCAGATGAGGATTTCCAAAAAGGGAAGGCACGTGCCACAGGGGCAGACAGCGCTTCACGTGCAATCCCAGAACATACCAACCGCGTCCTGAAAGGAGAGATTCAAATACAAATTGTGCGGTTCGTTTAAACATCTCGTGAGACAGACTGACTCAAAAGCTGAATGAGTACACAGTGCTGTTACTCATTAACAGCTGAGACTGATGCCCTCCCCCTCAGAAACCCTATTTCACTGCATTTTCCTCCTTCCAAGCTTTTGCCGCACAAACCCAGGGTAAGGCTGAAGAAGCGCCAACAGCGAAGCTTCCTGGGGTGAGCCCCCGGATGGGATTTACACAGCCGTACCGAGTCCTGAAGAAAACTCTGCTCGAGAGCTGCACCGTGCTCCAGCAAAAGCCTTTTATACAGACTTCCACTATCATCAGAATCAGCCATTTCGTTAGCACAACTGTAACCGTTCCCAACCCAGTCACACACTGGTCAGCTAAGAAAGGAGCAATTGGGGTTCCACATAAATCAACCCAAGTTGTCATCCCTGGTGCCAAATGACACAGTTAACAAGCGACCCGCACACAAGACCCCAGGGAAGGAGCTGCAAGAACACGTCACAGCAGAGACAAGCAAACGCAGGACCTCTCACGCCTGCTATCGCATCAAGAATCCTACTACGAATGCAACAGTCCCAGCTGCTGGGCACACCCCTCCTCCAAATAAAAATCACACAGACATTCCTCAAAAAAATCTTCCAATTATCACTGGACTTCCAAGCCCAATTCTATGAAACAATCTAGGGAGATTTTAAAAAAAAAAAGTATGGTTCTTTAAATGGCTCCGTCTCCCTTTGGTCCTTACCCCTCTGGGGCCATCAACGGTGAGCAGCGGGAATCCAAGGCACACAACGGCAGTGACATACTCCATCACTGAAACCTGGTTAGAAAAAGCAAAAATCAGCATCCTAACAGTCAAGCGCATCGAGGGTGCGAGGGCTGCTTTGCCAGGCTCCCGCCGGGCACAGAAATATCTTCCATATTTAGACCTTGCTTGGTTGACTAAAAGAGCGGGGAAAAAACATTGAATGACTCAAATTGCCTATGCCCCCACGACCAGAAAGGACGTCTGTCTCAAAGCCAGGCCTTGGAAAGAGAAAAGGGATAGGAAGAACCCTTGGCAGTGCCTTAAACGCAACAGTAATTCAAATCTAACTCTGAACTGAAGCTGTCAAGTGGGCTCTGAGAGGATGCAAAGGAATCGGGTACTTACGTGACAGGCCACCAAGGCACCCGTGTTCCACCCGATCAGGATGATCGGCTTGTGAGAGAAGTGGTTGTGAATCTACGGGAGAAAGAAAGAAAACGAAACAGACATGGATGGAGAAGAGGGACAGACAACAGGCCAATGCACTGGGGTGGCACAGCACCCAAAGGCAAGGTGAATGGTTTGAAGGGAGCAGCGAAGGCTCCCCGACGGGCTCCGTCGCTCTTACTTACCTCCGCCACTTTGCCCCTCACCGCCCCGATCATGTGTTCGAGACACTGCAACACTCCCACCCGTCTGCCGTTGTTCAACAGGTGGGTGGCGATGGGAATGACCTGCGGTTTGAAACGGAAGATCGATAAAGAACGAAGGCATTAACAGGGACAACAGGTACCGACAACAATTAGCACGGACTGGAACCCAGTTTACGCATGAACTTGTGCTTTCTCTCTCCCTCTTTCCCCCGGGATTCGCTTCTAGCTACTAAAAACAGAGGAAATGGAGAATTCCCCGCGGAGACAACCTCTGCTCCTCACCTCGCTCCTATACACCCAGTATATCTACCCCATTAGGAGGCGCGTGGGCAGCTCTGTACCCAGGCAGAGGACTAAGGTGACCTGTAGTCTCTCTCCTCCAACCCCTTCCTACCGGAAGACTCATCGCTCCTTAGTAACAGTAAGGATAACTAGACTAAACCTAAACTGCCGGATGATGGATGACTTTGGTCAGCGAGAGACCCCAAATGCATCGGATTTGGGCAACTTCATCCCCTGTGCAGCGTCTCAAATGGTAAACGCTGCAGGTGGCAGATGCCAGCCTCTGCTTTCAGCAGAGCCAAGCGTTTTGGTGCACTGAAGGCTTATAAAAACAAGCTCAGCCGCTGCAGTCTAGCACAGCTGCTAGTTTGAACTTCCCTCCTTTCAAAACCAACCATACGAACCTTTCCCAAGCAGGAAAGCTGCGACTGCCAGAATCGGTGCCGCCGAGAAGTGGGGAACATGGAGTTGGAGGGTCCAGAGGAAGCAATCAGGATGAGGGGGGAACCAGGCAATTTGCTCTACAAAGTTCAACAAGAGACGCGTAAGGGAAAGCAACTTCCCTGCCCGAGACCTCGCTGCCCAGCCCGGCCTGCACAACGAAGCAGGAGGGGATCTTGCACAGCTCGTTAATTGATCGCATTTTCCCCAGCCAAAGCTACCTCAGGATAGTACGGGGGGGCAGTCCCCCTCATCGAGCAAGTCTAAAGCAGGAGGACAAAGAGCCCAGGAAGCAAGACAGAGGTGGAAGGAAGACGACAGCAGAAGGATGGGAAAAACAAAGCCGATGGGAGGCCAGCCTCTCGCTCCCTGCAAGCCCCAAAAGGCACTCACTGGTTTATTATGCGACAAGACACCCACTGCTGGGTCCCAAGGTCTCTTCAGCAGCAGAGACAGAGCCTCGGCACCTGCCGCCCCCGTCTTGGCGGTAGAGGAGAGCAGCATCCTGTCGATCAGGGTGGGGATCTGAAACCAGAGGCCAGAAAGGACTGAGAAAACGCACACAGCCACTCCACAGGAAAAGGATAACAACTCCATCAGCTTCCTTTAACGAGCTTTAGAAAGGGAGAACATTATAGGTGATAGCAAAGTCTTGCACTGCTTTTATCACCTTTCCTTTAAGCGTTTGCAGAGCATCCAAGTAGGCAGCCAGCACTGGCAAACTGAGGGTTTCCACTAACGTCGTGTGAAGCCACTGGATCAGTTTGGTGTCCCAGTTCACACTAGCCAGAGCCTGGCGGACCCTCCGAGCACATTTGTCCACCGCTATCCTCCTCAGGACTGGCTCGTTGCAAGCCTAAAAACCAGGCAATTAAAAAGAAACACAGTTACAGCAAAAATCAAGCATGCCACGTGCATCCCAAGCCACAGGAAAGCACTGGCTTGGGCAGCCCAAAGTCCTCTGGCAGCAAGCAAAGACCAACATCCTCGCAGCGAGGACAAAATCATGCCTCAAAGGAAGCCCAGAGCTGCCTGTTTCTTAAGCCTACACAACCCAAAGGCCAAGACTTTCATCTTGACTCAGTCGGGCTTTGCTAGGAAGGACTGATAAAAAACACACACTGGCAGCGACTCTGCTGGAAAGCGAAACAGGGAGTAGAAGACCTTACCCCTTCGTTAGCCAAGCGAGCCAGCCTGTCAGACTGCAGCGCCTTGTGAATCTTATTAAACAGCTTGTTCTGGGCCATCGTCCAACCCGTCCTGTTGAGAAAACCGGAGAGGAAACGTCGGTCACTGTTACACAGACCTCCAGGTCCTGCAAGCTGCCGCCCGTTCCCAAGGCGGTCGGCCGCACAGCCGGGCATCGGCTGCGATCGCAGCCTCAGGAACCGATTTACAGCTACGGACAAAGTGAGTTTCGCTACTGAGGATTTAACTTATAGGATGGCTCAATAAAAAACACCAGGTTTTAAATGTCACCAGGGTGTGTCGGTGAACGTGTAAGCATCAGAAAGGCAAGAGTAACAGCAGAAGCAATAAATGAGAGCAAACTAATCGCTCCTTTTAGCATCGGTTATCACCACGTTTCTCAAACAAACTGTCCAGGAAAAGGAAAACCAAACAAACCAACATTCCTCATAACGTCAAGACCGTGAACTGGCCCAGCTGCAGTTCCAGGGAGGGTTTTTAATTTATGCAGATCCTCACTTTTTATTTTTGACATCGGAATATGGCCGAGTTGAGGATCTAGGTGTAATCTACCAACTCACTGTCCCAACCTCCTCCAAACAGAGGAGGCAGCTTCACATGAAGCACGGGGGAGAGGTTCAACAGCGGGGCCAGCCTCTACCATTAAATCCGACGGCTTTCACAGCAGGCACACGAGGAATTCGGACACGAGAATTCATTTTCTTTGAACATTATTCAGTTTAGGAACATCACCGCGTACCGAGTCGCACTAAAAAACCACCCCACACCACGCAACGGGCGGCTGTTTAGCGCCTGAATTTCTTTTCTCTGCTGTCCCCGCGCTACCTGTTGATGTGTTCCTCCCAGTCGTCCGGCGGCGGAGGGGCGTCAGCATCCGTGCGAGCGAACATCACGTGGCGCTCACACTCGTTCATCACGCTGCGCGCCTTCTGGTTGTCATAGAGCGGCACGGGTGTGGGCGTCACCGTCTCGACGTCGATGGGGATATCTGCTTCACTGTCAGGAATAATTGCGCTTTAGAGAAGGGGATCGCTCACCTTGGGGTCTGCCGTGCTTTACAATGAAAAGGCCGCTGAGCTTCATAACCAGGTATCTGGTTATTCCCGGTCTGAGGCCAGGCAGCTCCCCGAACCCCAAGACCAAGCCCCTGAGCTGCGACCCTGAGCGCACCCCCATCCCTCACCCCAAACTCACCCGTGACCCCCGGCCCAGCCCCACACCTTGACCCTAAAAGCAAACCACTGAGGCCTGGCCACAACCCCTCTTCCTGCCCCGACCCCCGGGCTGTGAAACCAGCCTCGAGCCCGTCCCCAGGCTGCCGAGCCGAGACCCCCAACTCAGCCCCCACACCTTCCCGCGGCCCATACTGCTCCCCACGGATCC